TTTCCTGAGTGATTTGGTGTATAAGAACATCCTTGCTTATGCCTACCTCCTGAAGTTTTCCTCTATCAATTTCAGAACATCGAGCTTTATATATTGAAGCATTTTATGCATTTCAAATAGAGTTTTGCAGAGGTTGGAGGTTTGGATCTAATTTAATTCCTTTTCCTGTACATACTCTCTTTTCATAACACCATTTGTTAAAGAGGCGCCCTTTATTTCCAGTGCCTGTTTTTTTTTACCCATTTGTAAAAAATAAGCTGGCTATAGATGTGTTAGTTTCTTTTGGGGTTTTCTATGCTTTTCCATCGATTTACATTGTTTGATATTTATATATTACCATGCTGTCTTTATCTGTATGATAATGAAATTTAAGTCAGATATTACGATACTGCTCCCCCCCCCTTGTTCCTCTGTTTTTTTTTAGACTGTTGACTTGGATACTTTTAGTGAGTAGTGTTCCACAATGAGTGTTTTGGGGTGCTTTCATAATTCTTTCTACAATGTCATTTGGGTTTTCATGAGTACTAATTGAGTTTTGTGACCACCCTTAGTAATATTTGCAAAGGATCAGTTTTGCTCAAGAATGAGCATGACTATCCATTACATTGTTTGGTCGCATGTGCGGTTTCTTTCTTTAGGGCCTTACATTTCTTGCTGTGAAATGTTTAACTTCTTTCCTTAGGTTTAATGTGAGGCAATTTGCTACATTTTGATGTGAGTATAAATGGGATACTTACTGAATTTTTCTTGGAAAGCTTCCTTTTGGAGTATGAAAAGGTTTTTTTTTTTTTTTTATGTGCAGCGTAGGTCTGGGTGCATTGGTGTTTCAGAGTGCTTTTACCATTCTGTACAGGTGTTGACTGAGAGGAGACTTATTGCAATTATTTTCCCTTATTGTTCAATAATTTGCTTTTTGAGACAGAGTCCACCCAAAATTCTAGCTCTCCATTTGCCTAGATTTTATGGACAGAGTACTCCAGGTTCTTCTCTGCATACTAGCAGAGGTGTCCAGAATCCTGACACAAAGATAAGACTTTTTTTTCATGAGGGCTGGGCCTCAAAACTCAGGTCCTCATGCATATACACCAAGTAATTTTCCTACCATACTGTATCTCCATGAGTTAAAAGCTTCTATTGGGGTCCTACTTAGAATATCTTCTCCCCTATCAATAATATCTGTTCTCTTCCCTTCTTCCTTCTCTATCAGATTCAAAGTATCAGTCTTATGTCAAGGTCTGTGATCCATTTGAAGTTGAATTTTGTGCAGGAGGAAAGATAGGAATGTAGTTTCTTTTCTCTATATGTATCTGTCAAGCTATCCATCACCATCTGTTGAAGATGCTGTCTTTTCTCCAATGTATATTTTTGGCTTCTTTTTCAGAAATAAAGTGACTTTAAAAATGTGGACTTGAATCTGGGTCCTCAATTCTCTTCCATTGATCAGTGTGTCAGCTTTCTTTGCCCCAGTGCCATTCTATCTTTCTTTCTCTAGCTATGTGGTGTAAGTTGAAATCAGGGATGATGATACCTCCAAGTATTCTATTATTGTTCATAACTTTTCAGCTGTCCTGGGTTTTCTGTGTTTTTATTCACAATTTGAGGGTATTTTTTCAATTTCTGTGAACAATTGTGTTGGATTTTTTGATACTGATTGCTTTGACTCTGTAGATTGCTTTTGGTAGGATGACTATTTTCATAATACTGATCCTACTGGTTAATGTCCATGGGAGTTGTTTCTGGATTCTAGCATCTTCCCCAGTTACTTTTTAAGTATCTTAAAGATTTAATTATAGAATTCTTTGATTAGATTTATTTAGCAATACCTCTTTTGTGGTTATTGTGATTGGTTTGCTTCCATGATTTCTTTCTCAGAATGTTTATATACTTGTGTAAGATGAATAATTGAGAAATGGATCCCATGAAAAGAAAAAAAACCTTCACAAAGCAGAGGGCAATATCATGTCCTGGAGTAAAGAGGCAGGCTTTAGCATGGAAGAGTACCTACCACCTATGCTTTTGACAGTGTATTAATGTCTGGAATACAAAGAACTAAAAAAATCAAACATATCAAGAAAACAACCAAATTAAAAATGAATTATAGATCTGACCAGTGTTCTCAAAAAGTGAAATAAAAGTGGCTGGGGAATATTTTAAAATTCATCCAAAATCCTTAGCTGTTAGGGAAATGCTAATTAAAATTATTTGAGGGTTTATGAACCGTACTCTGAATGGCTAGGATACAAAGAACTAATGACAGAGACATGGAGGATATCAGAGTGAGGGCTCATCAGTTCTTCTTCAGTGTGAGAACTGCTGAAGCCAGGTAGTATGTAGCGGGGGAGTCCCTGACAGGCCAAGATACCCTGACAGACCATTGTGTAGAGCTGTAAAATAAAGTCTAACCCTTTGTCCAGGAGCTATTGGGGATTCATCAATGCACTGAAGAGTCAGTTTTCTTTAAGTGTGTGTGCCCACCTAGGTTAACTATTCTTTCACAACCAAAAGTATAAGTCAGGATAAATATGACTTGATGGGTTTAAACTGACAGAAAAATAAGAGAGGCAGCATTGTATGCATGGACAGGGAAAGGCCCTGGATCTGGGATGCATTATGGGATGAGGAGGTGAATGTGATCAGAATACGTTGCACAAAATTCTGAAAAATACTAAGAAAAATGGGGGAAAATATTTAAATATTTATCCCATACACTTATCAGTCCTCTTCTCTTTCAGTGCTCACATGTGTAATGCATAAGTGGCAACCTAAGTATTGATAAGTCACTGCAGTATTTGTCGTTTCACGTAGTTGCTTTTGTTTATTAGTTTGTTTTCCCAATATAGTTTTAAAAGACTGAAAAATACCTGTGTGGTATTTCAATTGTGAATCCATCTAAATTTGGGCCATTGGGAGACATGGAAATAGTGCTTCATTTTTGTTCTTAATGATGTGCAGTTATTCCTTAAAGTCCATTTAAAAAACCCCTTTCTACCTCTGTTTTTATTAGTTTCTGTTTTTTATCTCTTTTGGTTAATTTTACTTGTGATTGGTCTTTTATTTCAGTGGATTATTTGATTAGTTGTATGTTTTCTTTTTTATTTTCTGTTTGCTCATTTCTGGTTTACTTGTTATTTCTTCTCATCCAGTGAATGGTTTTGCTTCTTCTTGATGAAGCAGAAATTTGAGTTGCATTACTCAGATATTTATTGGTTATTTCTCTGATATTTTTCTGTGTTCAGTTTTACACATAAAGCTGCTTCCAAATGCCTTAGCTGGATCACAGAGATTTTGAAAAGATGTAGTATCATGTTCATTTTATACTAGAAATTTTTAAATTCCCTCCTTGATTGTGTCAGTTGCCCAGTACGTAGTGAAATGAGACTGATGAATTATCAAGTATATTTAGATTCTTTGTTTTTTCATACTTATTCATATATCTTCCACTGTATTTTAAATCATACTAAAAATTTTAGTTATTTTTAATTAATGCTTTGTAACACATATTGGGATCATTTGTTTAAAAAAATTCTAGATGGAGGGGCTGGTGAGATGGCTGAGCAGTTAAGTGCACCAACTGCTGGTACATGGGACCCGATTTCGATTTCCACCACCTACATAATGGCTAATAACCGTCCATAATTCCAGTTCCAGTTGATCCTTTGCCCTCTTCTGACATATCTTCAGGCATTGCATGGGACAGTTGCCCTTACATACATATGGGGAATGCATTTATACACATAAAGAAATGAAAATAAATAAAATATTTAAAAATTTTCTATGTGAATCTGACAGTAATTTTTATTTCTTATGTCCTTCGTGGAACATTCTGTAAACATCAGTGAAATACTTTTATCTAACCTGCAGTTCAGTTCTTGAGATTTTTTCTTTTCTGAATTTTAGTTTGGAATATCCCAGTTAGAGTTTAGCATGTTGGACTGATACATCTCTTGCTATGGTTTCATGAACTGTCTTACCTATTTTTAACTTAATTTTTGTTTTATGAAACTAAGAATCCTAAAATTTTGTGCATAAATATTTAGTTATTCTATATGTCTGGTTCCTTTATCTTTTACTAACGTATGCTGAACATCTTTATCTATTCTTCCTAGTTTTATTTGTGGTCTTTTTATGATATAGGAAAATTGATATTCCATCAGGTTTACAAATTCTGTTTGCCTGGTACATTGAATGCTAAGTTTGTGACTGTCTCTCAGAATGTGAGATTGATTCTTGAATTTTGCTTTTTTTTTTCTTTAATGTATATTTTTATTGAATTTTTGTGTTCTTCATACAATGCCTCTTAATCATATTTAGACACAATGCCCTATCTGGACCCTTCAGCTTTCATGCATTCTCACAAATTTGTTAAAAGCTATCAAATTTTTGTCCCCAGATTTCTCTCAGTCAGAGTTTAACCCACCTAAGTCATTTCTGTTTTCAATTTGTGAGTTGAGACACAGGTATATAAGAAGTCATTTAGTTATTTAGGAATTTATTGAGAGGGTATCTGATGTATCACTTTGGTGTTGAAGGCATTCTGTCTGGTTGGATTACTGAGAGTTATTCTCTTCCCCTCTAATTAGTATTAATATTGAGATTTACTGATTTTCTGTATTGTGCATGATTTTATTCCTTCTGGGATCTTATGCCTTCATCAGTTGCCCTTATCAATCGTATTCTTTCTTCTGTTCTCTTGAATGAAAGTGTCCTCCTGCTCTGTGTATGTTCTCTTACACAAATTCTGAAGTGCCACCTTGGTTAACTTGATTTTTTTTTTTTTTTTCAATTTGGGCACATCTTCAAAACTTTTCAACCTTCATTAATTTTAAGGCATAAAATATTTCTCAGTATCAAATTTAGTATATAGTATCACTTTCAGTGCTTTAAATGTATTATTTCAGATCTTTCTGTCTTTTGTGTTTCTTAGCAAGAGATACAGTATTATTCCAATATTTCCACATTTGTAATGAGTTGGTATTTTTCCCATACAAGTTTCAGCATTGATTTTTGCTTTCTATTTTTAACATTTTTGATATGGTTATAAATGTAGAGTTCTGTTAATATCTATTTGAGCTTCCTAACTATCTCTTCTGATTGTATATCAATTTCATATTCTTGTTTTTCAGAAAGTTTCTGCTATAATTTTGTTGAATAATTTTTGTGACTTTGTTTTTACCTGAGTTCCAATGTTGTTGCTTATCGTCACTTAAATATTTCTCAGAGTTTTGGGAAATTTTGTTCATGATTATTACCTTTTCACTATATATCTCTGGATGTGTTATTGTCTCAGCCTTATTCTCCATGATTCAGTTATTCTTTCTACTTTGATTTATGCAGCAATTTCAACTCCTAGAAGACATCAGAAAATTCATACAGAAGAGAAACCATACAAATGTGAAGAATGTGGAAAGTCCTTTAGTCAAATATCATATTTTAGAGCACACCAAAGAATTCATACTGGTGAGAAACTCTTCAAATGTGAAGAATGTGAAAAGTCCTTTATGTGGATATCATTTCTTAGAGCACATCAAAGAATTCATACTGGTGAGAAACCCTTCAAATGTGAAGAATGTGACAAGTCCTTTATGTGTGTATCATATCTTAGAGCACATCAAAGAATTCATACTGGAGAGAAGCCCTACAAATGTGAAGAATGTGACAGGTCCTTTACTGAGAGCTCGGCACTTAGGAAACATTACAGAATGCATACTGGAGAAAAACCGTACAAATGTGAAGAATGTGGAAAGCCCTTTAGCCAAATATCACATCTTAGAACACACCAAAGAATTCATACTGGTGAGAAACCCTTCAAATGTGAAGAGTGTGACAAGTCCTTTATGTGTACATCATATCTTAGAGCACATGAAAGAATTCATACTGGAGAGAAGCCCTACAAATGTGAAGAATGTGACAGGTCCTTTACTGAGAGCTCGGCACTTAGGAAACATTACAGAATGCATACTGGAGAAAAACCGTACAAATGTGAAGAATGTGGAAAGCCCTTTAGCCAAATATCACATCTTAGAACACACCAAAGAATTCATACTGGTGAGAAACCCTTCAAATGTGAAGAGTGTGACAAGTCCTTTATGTGTACATCATATCTTAGAGCACATGAAAGAATTCATACTGGAGAGAAGCCCTACAAATGTGAAGAATGTGACAGGTCCTTTACTGAGAGCTCGGCACTTAGGAAACATTACAGAATGCATACTGGAGAAAAACCGTACAAATGTGAAGAATGTGGAAAGCCCTTTAGCCAAATATCACATCTTAGAACACACCAAAGAATTCATACTGGTGAGAAACCCTTCAAATGTGAAGAGTGTGACAAGTCCTTTATGTGTACATCATATCTTAGAGCACATGAAAGAATTCATACTGGAGAGAAGCCCTACAAATGTGAAGAATGTGACAGGTCCTTTACTGAGAGCTCGGCACTTAGGAAACATTACAGAATGCATACTGGAGAAAAACCGTACAAATGTGAAGAATGTGGAAAGCCCTTTAGCCAAATATCACATCTTAGAACACACCAAAGAATTCATACTGGTGAGAAACCCTTCAAATGTGAAGAGTGTGACAAGTCCTTTATGTGTACATCATATCTTAGAGCACATGAAAGAATTCATACTGGAGAGAAGCCCTACAAATGTGAAGAATGTGACAGGTCCTTTACTGAGAGCTCGGCACTTAGGAAACATTACAGAATGCATACTGGAGAAAAACCGTACAAATGTGAAGAATGTGGAAAGCCCTTTAGCCAAATATCACATCTTAGAACACACCAAAGAATTCATACTGGTGAGAAACCCTTCAAATGTGAAGAGTGTGACAAGTCCTTTATGTGTACATCATATCTTAGAGCACATGAAAGAATTCATACTGGAGAGAAGCCCTACAAATGTGAAGAATGTGACAGGTCCTTTACTGAGAGCTCGGCACTTAGGAAACATTACAGAATGCATACTGGAGAAAAACCGTACAAATGTGAAGAATGTGGAAAGCCCTTTAGCCAAATATCACATCTTAGAACACACCAAAGAATTCATACTGGTGAGAAACCCTTCAAATGTGAAGAGTGTGACAAGTCCTTTATGTGTACATCATATCTTAGAGCACATGAAAGAATTCATACTGGAGAGAAGCCCTACAAATGTGAAGAATGTGACAGGTCCTTTACTGAGAGCTCGGCACTTAGGAAACATTACAGAATGCATACTGGAGAAAAACCGTACAAATGTGAAGAATGTGGAAAGCCCTTTAGCCAAATATCACATCTTAGAACACACCAAAGAATTCATACTGGTGAGAAACCCTTCAAATGTGAAGAGTGTGACAAGTCCTTTATGTGTACATCATATCTTAGAGCACATGAAAGAATTCATACTGGAGAGAAGCCCTACAAATGTGAAGAATGTGACAGGTCCTTTACTGAGAGCTCGGCACTTAGGAAACATTACAGAATGCATACTGGAGAAAAACCGTACAAATGTGAAGAATGTGGAAAGCCCTTTAGCCAAATATCACATCTTAGAACACACCAAAGAATTCATACTGGTGAGAAACCCTTCAAATGTGAAGAGTGTGACAAGTCCTTTATGTGTACATCATATCTTAGAGCACATGAAAGAATTCATACTGGAGAGAAGCCCTACAAATGTGAAGAATGTGACAGGTCCTTTACTGAGAGCTCGGCACTTAGGAAACATTACAGAATGCATACTGGAGAAAAACCGTACAAATGTGAAGAATGTGGAAAGCCCTTTAGCCAAATATCACATCTTAGAACACACCAAAGAATTCATACTGGTGAGAAACCCTTCAAATGTGAAGAGTGTGACAAGTCCTTTATGGTGATGAATTAAACAATAGGAAGAATTGTTAGATGTTTTCAGTATTACTTGATGTAGGAAAAGTATAGAGAAAGCTGTTAATAAAAAATTTTGTGATTTTAACCATGTTCTGTCCTATTGGCATTTTAGCCTACCTCTTTGAAAGTGTCAGATTATGAACTCTAGTATTTATGTGTTGAGCATAATGTTGCTTTATCCTGCCTTTTATTTGTGTTGTAACTGACCCACATGTATGATATTTCAAAATCTCATATATGATATTTCAAAATCTTTTAAGCTAGGCCAGGTGTGGTGATGCATGCCTTTAATCCCAGCACTTGGGAGGCAGAGG